TGAAGGCAACAGATACTCGACTGTGAGTCCAGAACCAACGATCTAAAACAAACATACGTTTAGACACAGAGTAGGTTGGTTCCTAATTTCTTTTCTTTTTCTAAAGGACTCATTATCCCTGAAGCGAAGACATTCCGCATCGAAAATGTGCCGCAGGTCACAGAGTCTGCAGCATTTATGCTCCGTACGGTTTTCCCTGTGGGTTCAGCCCAAACAGCAAGCAGACAACACCACAGGAGGAAGTAGAAAACACGGCTGTTTACAACTTTGTCAAAGCCTCTTCATGCCGGGTAGGAGCAGCAGTCCTTTCTGTCCTGGAGTTTTTCCACAATCTGTTTATTGTCGTGATAGTTATGAGCTAAAATTCGGGATGTCTCTAGATGTTTGCAGTTACGATTCGTCGCCAGCTGGAGCTGCTGCTTGCTCGCCATGTTTTTCGCGCAGGTCTGTCCGTGTAGTTACAAATATTCCAAGGATATCTGTGCGAAAATTCTGACCGCACGCAGTCCAGAGGGCTGAGAAAGTCCAAAATGACGTAATTTGGCTGCGAGGCCCTTACGGGCGGGTCACGCATAAACCAGGCTTAAGAGTCTGGTATGCATTAGTTTCAGAGTTTAGGTCTTTAAGGAAAGTTATGAAACATCCCTTCAAACTATGAAGTGAATTCCTGCCCCTCACCTCAGACGCCTGTTTGAAAGTTTTAATAAGTTCTTCTCGATTGATGAGATGCCAGAAAATTTCCATCTGCATATCTGTGGTTTTAGGAGTAATGATACTTTGACAACCATAATAAGCATCTTACATTTCCAAAAAACTAAACAAAAGTCAGGTTATCTCTTGTCGAAGCCTGTTCCGTGGCTGAGTCATGTTGATTAAATGATTATTGATCTGATTACATCGACAAAAATTAATTATTGATTCAGGTCATGATCCTAATGATAGAGCCAGTACTTTATAATGAAATTCCCAAAGAAAGACTTAAATAAAGAGGTTATCTATTATTTTTTATAATCATCATCATAATTTTTTTACCATTAGATTATTTACTTTAAAGTCTTAGGGAAGAGCCCTTGCCTCGCAACGCTGCCAGTTCTGTTAGCTCTACGCCTGCCGAAGACACAGACGTCCATCCCTGTGAACACTGGGACAGGAATCAATCGGAAAGGAAAGGATTCTGATTTCAACCGTTGCGTATATTAGCTGCGACATATGAATCAAGATGCTATGACCAAAAAAATTTGATTTACAGATGACCGTTGATATATGATTGGCCAAATTTAGGTGTTCAACCTGTCGTATAACTAACTGGCCTGCAGAAGATGACGGGGGAAAAAAAACACATTTTTTAAATAGAAATTTTCTCAATTTTGAGACAATATGATCTGATAAAGAGTACATTTATATATATTTTCAAGCCAGAATGATTTGACATTAAGTAAGATTTCCCCACAACTTTTAAAGCCTAATGCTTGTTTAACATTAGAAATAAAATGTTAAAAACATTTAAGTCTTTTGTTTTTGAGAAACAATTGTATTGGATCAGATTAGATTAGATTAGATTAGATGAGCTTTATTGATCTCACAGTGGAGAAATTCACTGGTCACATATTAAAGAAGGTGGAAAAAGGTGCATAAACAATATATACACTATATTGCCAAAAGTATTTGCTCACCTGCCTTGACTCACATATGAGCTTAAGTGACATCCCGTTCCTAATCCATAGGGTTCAATATGACGTCGGTCCACCCTTTGCAGCTAGAACAGCTTCAACTCTTCTGGGAAGGCTGTCCACAAGGTTTAGGAGTGTGTTTATGGGAATTTTTGACCATTCTTCCAGAAGCGCATTTGTGAGGTCGCACACTGATGTTGGACGAGAAGGCCTGGCTCTCAGTCTCCGCTCTAATTCATCCCAAAGGTGTTCTATCGGGTTGAGGTCAGGACTCTGTGCAGGCCAGTCAAGTTCATCCACACCAGACTCTGTCATCCATGTCTTTATGGACCTTGCTTTGTGCACTGGTGCACAGTCATGTTGGAAGAGGAAGGGGCCAGCTCCAAACTGTTCCCACAAAGTTGGGAGCATGGAATTGTCCAAAATGTCTTGGTATGCTGAAGCATTCAGAGTTCCTTTCACTGGAACTAAGGGGCCAAGCCCAGCTCCTGAAAAACAACCCCACACCATAATCCCCCCTCCACCAAACTTTACACTTGGCACAATGCAGTCAGACAAGTACCGTTCTCCTGGCAACCGCCAAACCCAGACCCGTCCATCAGATTGCCAGATGGAGAAGCGCGATTCGTCACTCCAGAGAACGCGTCTCCACTGCTCTAGAGTCCAGTGGCGGCGTGCTTTACACCACCGCATCCGACGCTTTGCATTGCACTTGGTGATGTATGGCTTGGATGCAGCTGCTCGCCCATGGAAACCCATTCCATGAAGCTCTCTGCGCACTGTTCTTGAGCTAATCTGAAGGCCACATGAAGTTTGGAGGTCTGTAGTGATTGACTCTGCAGAAAGTTGGCGACCTCTTCGCACTATGCGCGTCAGCATCCGCTGACCCCGCTCCGTCAGTTTACGTGGCCTACCACTTCGTGGCTGAGTTGCTGTCGTTCCCAAACACTTCCATTTTCTTATAATACAGCTGACAGTTGACTGTGGAATATTTAGGAGCGAGGAAATTTCACGACTGGATTTGTTGCACAGGTGGCATCCTATCACAGTTCCACGCTGGAATTCACTGAGCTCCTGAGAGCGACCCATTCTTTCACAAATGTTTGTAAAAACAGTCTGCATGCCTAGGTGCTTGAATTTATACACCTGTGGCCATGGAAGTGATTGGAACACCTGATTCCAATAATTTGGATGGGTGAGCAAATACTTTTGGCAATATAGTGTATATATATACAGTATATCACCGTATATATATTGGATGGGTATAAATGTTTGCACCAGATCAACTGACTTCTGGAAATTCAACACAGATTGTATAATGACAGAGTTTGGGATATTAGCAAACATCATGACATCACCCAAAAAAGAAAAGTAAACACCTTTTAGCCTGGAGAGACTCGCATGGAGAAAAGGAGCCATACGATTGGTTGCAGGTGAGTTTTCGAGAGCTTCATATCCTGATTAAAACTATGATATATTGATGTTTACATTAGGATTGTTGTGATGCAATATTTTCATTTCCAATAGTGCAGCTTTGAGTAATGGTGATAACAATATTGAACAATACAACATCAGCACATATCCTCCATACTTATTTTGAATATCAGGAAAAAAATTCTTGATCAAGTCATATTACCTAAAAAGAGAACGAGTCAAAACAAAACTAACCCGTATTCTATTAAACAATGACTAACATGAACTTAAAGCTTAAACATTAGAATATTTTGCAGCTAGAATAATATTAATAAAATGGAAAAAACTTGTGCATGACATGTTTTTCCCTCAGCTGATGTTGTTGAACTCTGAACGGATACAGGTGTTGATGGATAGAAATGCTGAAGCGGACTAATGACGGCGAGGAATGCTGCTACCAGCTTTGTTGTATCAGAGACTTCAGATGCAGCCCAATTTAATCAGATATCTGTTTGTTTTTGCAGATATCAGACTTATTTCAGGGCATTCCCAGTTTCCTTAAGTGGTTCCGTTTTCTTTAATCAGTGCATTCTCATCTAAGAGGCCTTTTGCAGTAGGACTAATACAATTAAATGCATCTGCTGAAACATGTTATTTGTATTTTTCTACGTTGCTAAGAGGAATCTGACAAAGCAGTTCAAAGGATTTAATACTCCTGCTTCGACATGCAGACATATCTGGTATCGGATTTGCAGGAGAGCCTGAGCGTGTTCTGCTCTCCTTCCTAAATCAGGTCACCGTTATTGGATAAAAAGAACAAAAAAAGCCCCACAGAACACAAAGAAGAAATAACAGCGTTTAAGGATGATAAAAGTACAACAACAAAAATCCCTACAAACCACAAACAACGGATGACAGCGTTTCAGGATGATGCTGGGTTAATCCTCTGCTGAACATCAAAGCATTTCTGTTCATCCGATCAGTTTTAAACTTCTTACTTCATGTTTTATTCCATACTGTGATCACACTGCCTACTATACATTTTAATAAAAGAATGCAGCTCCTACTTAAATTAATTGTTTGCCTATATATTTAGTTTATTTTGTCAAGTTAGACCATTTAAAGTAGATTAAGTTGGGCAAACTTAATCAGATTTATCAAAGTTGGAGCTGTATTCTCTTTTTAGAGAGAATTACAAGCTGCAATACAAAGTCTAGGAAAGCAAGAAGTGAATAATGTGAAGCAAAGACTGGTTTCCCCTCCTTCCAGCCTCTGGGTTGAGAAACTGCATCACCACAGTCTTGTCAGAACAAGACATAAAGCTATTTCCTGAAAGTGTTTCAAAGTCTGTGGTTCCTTCACACTGATATGAAGCGAAACATGTTCACTGATGAGATGATGTGCAGGAAACTGGGACTAAAACAACCAAAGCAACACATGTGAGAAAAATAGGTCTGTCTATGAGTGACATCATTTAAATGCCCAGTGGCACCTTTAAAAAGGTGAAGTCCAGTTTTTATTTTTTATTTTTTCATCCTGTGCTATAAGAAGCTGCTTCTTTCTTTAGATTTAGGACTAATTTAACAGAAAGCAGAGACCATAGAAAACTAAACAGCCTTTTAGTGAATGATTCAAGGAGCAACAAAGGAGAGGAATTACTAAATGTGACCCAAATATTTACGCTAGAGATGAAAAACAGATAAAATGCAGGAAATAAAGTATCTAATAAGGCGATTTGTTTTGTTTGTTTGATAAATGAATGACCTTGTTTTCCTTTAGTGAGTCGTCAGCCCACCCAGCGGGGCGTTTCAGGTAAAGCTCACCTGGCCAAACCCACCGTGACCCACACAGGTGACTTTCCGCGCTATAGAGGAGACCTGAGTGGAGGAAAGTCCGCAGTAATGGTTCGGTTGTTACCTTTTAACGCCGCTCACAGCAGTTCCTGGATCACATAACGCCCGGACAGCATCGTGTTTTCAGCGGGGAGCAGAGCAGCGGCAGGTCAGACATCGACTGATCACACTTCCTCCTCCTCCCGCTGCTGCGGTGCGTAAAGCGCGCGCCGCCGCAGCAGCGGCCCTGAGCGCGAGCTGCTGTAGAAATAAAAGTACTTCCTGTGGCAGGATATTGATCCCTCACAGAGAAGACTTCTTCCTTTTTTAGATCAGTATAGTCGGATAAATCCATTTCCTTTTTCCTTTTTTTTTTTTTAAGAAAGTCAATTAAATTATTTTAAAAGTACCTTTTTATCATAAACTTATCTCTCAAATTTGTTTTTTTGTTTTACTTTCTTTGTTAATTTCAAAATAAATCCATTTGGTATACCAATGACTGAATTAATGAATAGGAATTAAATGAAACACCAATTTCCATATCAACTAAATTCACTTGAACATAAATAGAAGCAAAACCCTCCACCAAATAAACCTGTCTGTATATTCAGCCAGAGAAAATACATCGATTAATGGAAATTTTCTGAAAAGGGGTATGAAGAATCCTGAGCCATCTTAAAAGTTAAGCTGCTATAGGCTTAGATTGCTGGAGGACATAGGGACCCCTATTTCATCATTCTATCTCTATTCAGTTCAATCACTAACGTTCTGCTCTCTCTGCTTTTTCTCATAGTAGCTTCATCTGTTCTGTTCCTGTTTGGCTGTGACTCCATCCTGGAGAGAAATATCAGCTGTGCTGCTGCCATCAACACCTTTGTTTATAGATGTTAAAGATCGCCCTGTTTTTCCAGTGTGGTCCTATTTCTCTGACTGTGACTGACTGGATGTGCTCTCTTCATCCTCTGACATGGGAGCTGGCTCGGAGCTCGTCTGCCTGGCTGTGGCTGTGGCTGTGGCGGCCCGGCTCCTGGACCGGGCCGCCTTTTACAGTTGCTTATTGTTTCTCTGCTTCTGTTTCCTTGAACCCCAGTCGGCCTCAGCAGATGGCCGCTCACACTAAGCCTGGTTCATGTTAAAAGAGAGTTTTTCCTCTCCACTGTCGCTGCAAGCATGCTTAGTGTGAGGGATTGCATCCAAGTCAATTAGTCGATGCAATCAACTGGTTTTCCTTAGATAGAAAACTTTAAATCAATTAGACTGTATGATCTGGTTGAACTGTAAAGTGCCTTGAGATGACATGTGTTGTGAATTGGCGTTATATAAATAAACTGAATTGAATTGAAGAAGTAAAACTTATTTTTCATATCCCCTCTCCCTCTAATTGCACTTAAATTAACATAAGGTGGAGTAACCTTCCTGTTAAACTTCTGTTTTTTTAGCCAATATTCACACACACACACACACCTAAAAAAATTTATTATATATATGATTTATTTTAAGAACAATAATTCTACTTCTTTTGGCAGACCATCTTATTTTCCTGCTCAAATTACGGACAAATGCATTTATTTTAAGAAACGATTGCTTTTTTTTTAGTTCAGTTGTTGCTGTGAATACACTGACAGACAAAAATATAACAGATTACAATTTACTTTAACATTTATTTAGAAAATACTATCAGCTATAGGCCTCGGGCTGTTATGATTGCATTGCAGTTTTCCTCTGTTAGATCAGGAGTTACTAACCATGTGGTTCCCTCAACATACTAAACGATGTTCTCCTGCTCTGATTTTCTTTTTTTTTTTTTTTTTTTTTGCATGTGTTTGTTATTCTTTTGTTCTTTGCCCCCATCATAAACCTTGGCCCCACCCTGGGATATTTCATCTAGAACCACCACTGCCTATGTTCTCTGTATTTATTCTATTGAGATTTATAAGTAATTCTGGTGTTTTAAAGTCTAAAATACAAAAACATTAAACAAATAAGAAAATTAGAGAACAAATTCAGGAAGAAACATTCGATTTTATAAATGCAAAATGTATGAAGCCAATAGAAGTCATTAAAGACTGAGACAGTGAAGACATTCTTTGCAGTTTACTCTCTAAATTAAAGATGCTTTGCATTATTCACAAACCAAAATTTTGAACAATAAACCTAAATCTATGTCCCTGTTACTAATATACTATTTTTTTTTTATTGTAAATTGTATTACTATTTTTTATTTTAAATTTGCTATAGCATTATTACAGAGTTATTTGTATGTTTTGATCAGATCATAATCCTTTATATGTTCTTAGATGAGTGGGCCTTCAAAAACTCAAACAGATCTATCACAGGATAGACATAGGAAAAATAGACAATCTTTGAGCCAGTTGAGTTTATTATTATTATTAGAACTAAAAAAAAAAAAAATTAACAATATTATATACTGCTATAAAGCTGCCATTAGTACCCTAATATCTACTTGACAAATTGATGCTACTATGACAACTAAATGATTGCATCTAACAATATAATTGCATAATTGATATTTTTATTCAATAGATGTGCATTTTTTTGGTAAGACTATGGACAACATCACACATACATAACCCCCCTGTCCCTTTGCTTACCTGGTTAAATGAAAAATGTAATAAAAAACTAATTTAAAAATGTTAAAAGGCTTCTTTTTTTTAAATCATTGTCTGTTTTATGTTAATAGCCGTATAAAAAAAGAAAAACTAAAGTTGCTAGCAGACCAGGGGGAAATAGATACATCCTAACATATCAGTCAAAAAAAACTTAGTCAATTAATAACAGTATGATAAAAAAAAAAAAAAAAACATCCTCCAAATGCATTCAGTCATTTGAACAGAAAGCTTCAGTCTTGCTACAGATTCTCCATGGATTCTTTACTTTTGATTGGACCTCTCCATCACATCATTCTGCCTCTGTTGTCCTGTGTTTAGCTCCATCCACACTCCCATCATCTTTTACTGGTTCCCCTGTGTATTTCAAAGGAAAACATCCTTTAAACCAGGGGTCTTCAACGTTTTCAAAGCCAAGGACCCCCAAACTGATGGCGAGATGGAGCGGGGACCCCCTACTTATATATATTGTATGAAATTGTATTATATCAAACTGGTCCTATAGTCACTCTATTACATATGGAGTAATGTAACCAAAGTAATCCCTCCCTGGGATTATTAAAGTATTTCTGATTCTGATTCCTGGTTGATGGAACAGGTGTTGTGAATAAAACGGTGCCCAGCTTGAAAGAGCTCCTGTGTGTCTCTGAATGTGAGCATTGATGACTGAAAGACATCTTCTGCCTCCAGTTATCTGTTCAATACAGTGTGTTGAATTCATGTTAATGTGGATTTAAAGACATTTTAATTAGTGCAAAAAATTGCTGGAGGGAATATAAAAAAAAGTAATCAACCAAGACTTTCGCGACCCCCATGCAGTACCTCCGCGGACCCCCTAGGGGTTGCGGACCCCCTGTTGAAGACCTCTGCTTTAAACCATTTTTCACAGTAGGGGTGGCGTCTTCATTTTTATTTCACAGCAGCATATTTTACATAACGGCCAATCAGTTCAGCTTTAGCCTCATCTGATTGGAGCATCTTCTTCCTTATGTTTTGTGTTTCCTCTGCAGACCTGTTTGCAAATGTTGAGCATGACTTTAATGGATTTCTATTAACAATTTTTTTCTTACCATCTTCCATAATAGCTAGTTTGTAAATTATGTAGCTAAAAGGTGGCTGCTCACTGTGCTAATCATTGTCTGGCCTGTTAGTTTAGGTGAAAGTGACGTGTTGCTGAGGTTGCAGGAGGTTATGATTATTATTTGGAAAAACCTTTATCATTTGTCTCACATTTTACAGTTATTTTGTGTTCATCTAGGCTATCATATATAATTCCAGTAAAAAACAGTGGTGTAACTCGATAAAGTGTTAAAGATTTCCACAAGTTTTTGCAAAGTTCTGACTGTTAAAGATACATTGACACAGAAATCTGATTAAATAAAGTATGTAAAACTAGGCAAACCCCAGATATTTTGTAGTAAAAGTACAAAAATGCCATATCTAAGATTATTAAGGTGTGTAGTAGGATCACGGGTGTTCAACAGAAAAACATGACTGAAACGTATGAAGATCAGGTAATCAGGAAGGCTGAGTCCATTTTTGGATAATTATACCCATCCCCTACATAACGAATTTCAGTTTCTACCCTCTGGTTCCTGTTTTAAATTCCCACCAGTTCGGACCAACAGATACAAACACTCCTTTATTCCCTCTGCTCAGATAGCCATATGTTGCATGCATTCAGGTCTATGCTCTCATTTGCACATATTTATTTACTTTTTTTTTTTTTTTTTACATTTCTGTCTCTTGTATCCACCATTTAAATATTTATGTGTTTCTTGTGCTTCTTCTTTTATTTTTTATCTGATTTGTGAAATGTGAACATGTGTGTGAAAGGTGAACTACTACTGCACAAAAATTGCCCATACTGGGACAAATAAAAGCTACTGAACTGAACTGGAGGTAAGTAAGCAAATGGTGTTTATAAAGCGCTTTGCACAGATAAATATCTGTAAATGTACGAAAAATAAACAGAATAGACAACATGGTATGAATTACATACCGTAAACAACCTCTCTCAGAGACCTTGTAGCCTTGCAGCTCTGAGGCCTGAAAGGATGAAACTCAGCAACGATAAATCAATGTATGTAAAAGAAAATTAATAGGAGAGAGATTTCTTCCCAACACACTTTGCACAACAGGGTTTTCAGTTGCCTTTGAAAACTGACCACACTGTCAACCATATGTAGAAACAGAGGCAAGTCTTTCCACAGTCTGGGAGCTAAAGCCTGATTTTCTAGAGCGAGTTTGGGTCGAAAACAAGGTTGAAAACACAATGCAACAAAATTATGTACACCACTATTATTTTCCAGCACTTGAGACATACTTGGATGGTCCAACAATTTTAATCTCCCTTATTTTAGTGAATCTAGACTAAGTACTAACAGATTAACCCAATGGCGCCACCCGATGGTGGCAATGCCCTGGCCATCACACTTGCCGGTGTAAATTGTAGTTTAGCATTTCATCCCATTATGCACAGCTAGGGACATGACATTAAAAATCACTCAATAAACCAAGATGTGAGTAGGTGTTTACTTCAGTCAGTTTACCACAGAAGTAGATTCAAACCCTGAAATTATGGCTTTTAGATTTTTA